ATCAATCCCACAACAAAGTTATGAAAACGTAGTCAGAACACATGTGTACATCAAAAGGAGACTGCGAACAAAATAGAGGCCGCAACATCATGGTCTTCGTATCTATTTATTTGAGGGATGCAGCTGTTCGGTCACAATTACATCCATTTAACGTATCAGCTATAGCCACTGGATTCACGTATGCAGGAGCATTATCGTGGGAGTAGATAAAACTATTCCATAGGATAAGTTATGATTGTGCATTAGATTTGCAACAATATTTATAGACAAATTATGCATCTTAAAAGTTGGTTATGAAGTGGATATTGAGGAGAAATTTTCCCTGTTTAGGTGGTTTGACTGACACTAGTGCTCTCGTAACAGTGAAATTAATCAATTAACGTGTCAAGATTATACGCTACACTAACACGGTACGAATCCTGTGGGGGTGCTGATGAGACCTAGGCGAGGTCACAAGTGCAATCCAGCCCAGATTAGAATAACTCATGGGGTGAAATTGAACTACGAGTCCTTTATCACCTTGAAGAACTAGGGTGAATAAATCTTATATTCAAATCAAGTAAAACTTTCATTTTTGGGGTCGCCATGCAAGAGGCTTGGGCATAAGCAAGTCCTAGACTTTGCAATAGAAATAGAAGAGCGAGAAAACAAGTGGAGACTATTGATAGTTGGCTATTAGCAGATAAGTTTTATTATATACCTGTAGTACAAGGTAAGGGCTTAAACACGAGATTTACTAGGTGCACATGCCGCACAGTGACAATGGAATCTGCAGCGTCAAGTCAGGTTGACATGCCAATTGAGAATACAGACTTTAGGTGCTTGATCAGCGATCAAAGGCTTGAGGCAGAGTGTAGAAGATAATAACTTGAGTAGCATGGATAAAGTGGCAGAGATGGAATGAAATCACTGAAACAGCAAATAAAGGAAGGATCCTACGCTGCAAGAGGAGGACTCTGATAGAACCCGAAGGGAGAAAATTGCTGATTAAATCGCAGCCTTGGATCCACACACCCAGAACAGTGGGAAGTTGTGGGAATCAGCGGGAGAGCGAATAAGTTTCAAATCAGTTTAGATAAACAAGTAAGAAATTTTGATATTGAGTGATACAAGGATATAGGATAGGTGAACACCCGAGGATAGAAATAGATATACAACAACTGTTTAGCAGACAATTGGCCAAAGGCTCGAGTTTACTTGTTTCTTTGAAGAGTTGTAGTGTGGCGCTAAAACAGGCAAGGCTCCCTGATGATGCCGGTGAAACGTCTGGGAGTGTACCAAGTCCACGGGCTGAGTGGAAATTATCATGCATACTATGGACTCCGGACAAGATGCGTTTCTCTAGGTCTTCCTGCCAAAATAACCAAATTGCGAAAACAAGGTCAAACAACTTCTATATAAAGAAAGTAGACCGCGGCCATACAGACGGCCACACCATATTGCTCTTCATATCTGCTAAATGTTCAGTTTATTTGGCTTAGAGAAATAATCTGATGAAAGAGTTAGCATGTTAAATGCCACATTTTACCTCATTCACATTGATATTATTAGAAGAATGGGAAATAAGTCCAGCATTGTGTGAAAGAGCTAGACTGCTGGTAAGAAAGAGCTTTTGGGGCTTTTAGGAAATCCATTAATGAAGCAAAGTAAGATGGCTAGAGTGAGTAAATAAAGCTCCTCTAAGTGAGCGCATGGCAAATCTGCCCGTCACCCTGCAACAAGGTTTTGTACTCATTGGCAATATTTATTTAGGAGACCTGCTAACCAATCCAGAAGACTTTATGTGAATACCAATCCGCTAGTAAAGGTGTATGGGTCCAAAAATCTGAGATCACTGAACAGACGGCCAAAACAAGACACTGGTTAGTAGTCCAAAACAATGTTTTGCTGGTTAAGGAGACTTTACATCAAAGCATGAGATTAGGGTGTCTATAGGAATTAGCAAAACAGCCAGTGTCCTGAATAAAAGAAAGGAGTGTAGGAAATCGAGTAGGAACTATTTAATGGTTGTTGGGTAGGCTTAAGGAGAGAGAGAGAGAGGGAGAACAGGAAGACCCACTGAGGGAAAAGATGCTGAATTCGCCTCGAGTATAGCTAGGACTATCATGCCTCTCATTATATAAACATAACGCACACACACAATAGACAATAACGCATACTTAAGCATGAGTCAACATCAGAGAATCGTAGGCTAGTTTATTTTTGTAAGGAAACAGTTGCCACCGGATCCGCATCCGGTTCATGAATTAACTTTACTCATCTGAGGGCATGTAAAGTAAGTTTGATATAGCCAACTAAATCATGGGATGGTTAACTAAGATTGCGAGGAAAGGTGTATGAAAAGTGCAAAGAGTTGCAGCTGGCCCTCCATATCTTGATTTAGTACATGAAGGCCAAGATGTTGTGGCTTCCTCTCGATATATAAGAATGGTTTGACCTCGTTTTAATAGCTTGGTTATTTTTCAGGATGACTTAATAAGACATGACCAAGTTGCGAATATAAGTAAAGGCTACTTCTAAGCTGTCATTTATTACAATGTTATAACATCCTTATAAGACCACCAAATATCGATGCCTTCCTAATTTTTGTGAAGAGTTGAAATGTTCACAATGAATTAAATAGATTCTATATGCATCTTTGGGAATCGGCCATTTGTTTCCTGCAAAGGATCGTAACCATTTTCATGAAATCAAGATAAATCTAGTTAATTGAAAATCGAATATCTGCTTTCTCAATACATGAGTCCATAGAGGTATGTAGTAAGAGGCAAGGTATATGTTTTTAAGCCTCACGTTTAGTCTCGAACTCATGTTTAGAAGTTCGGTTATATACGGGAAGAATGAAGCAGTGAGGTTCACAGTCAAAAATAAATTCATCGTAGTCAATACAAATATTAGTAAGAAAAAGCCTAATCGATTATCGGTGGCGCCTCGCTCTTAAACCCCTTAGCTAAGCAAAACGTCATAGAAATTAGGCGTTCTGGCCAAAATGCACTAGAAATCCACTTGAAATGCCGCGTGCGACCAGAGATAGGGGTCCATAGTTTGCTCAGATAGCATGGGCTTAATCAAGGAGAGGACGCGTGAAGTAAAGGCATGATATCTGCAAGCATGGGAATCAAACCAAGATGTTGTGGCCTCTGGTATGGTCACAGTCACCTTTCGATCCTCTCTTTCGATAGGCTTATCCGACTCGGGCCTCCAATCCGCATCCCTTAATTGTCTCGTGTATCCGTTCCTTAGCTTTCTGGTTGACCGATTTCAATCAGGTCCAGTCCCTGTGCGCATTTTACTCCAGGCGCTATTTCTCAAGGCCCTAGAAGCACGTACACTGCCGCTTTACTGAGCGGAGCGCTTAAGCTCTGATTCCCATGCTAACTGATATCAGGCCTTCCCTTCACCGGTCATCTCCTTGATTAAAGCCATGTCATCTAAGCAAACTTTGGACGCTTATTGAATATATGAAGACCAAGATGTTGTGGCCTCTGGTGTGGTCGCAGTTTCCTTTCGATGGATAGAAG